TGATCGTTTGAAGTTGTAAGAATAATGTATTGATGACAATTTTAACTACAAATAAAAATCAATAAAGTTGAAGATTGTATACGAGTGAATGATCTATTCTCCTAAAGAATAATAGTCAACTATTCGAAAGCGCTCAAGTTTTGGGTCTTATTTTAAGTCTGTTAGCTAACTTCCGATGCTCTGGTACCAGCCTGCTATTCAAGGACTGACAAAAAATAGTAGTAAGTGGCTCACATATCCAATCTTTAACCTCCTTCAAAACCCTTGGAAAAATATTATCTGGCCCAGGATCCTTATCGTTTTTTAAATTTTCCATTTTTTCTTAACCAGCTCATAATTAATGCAGTCATCTAGTTCGATCTTGTTTCCTTCTATCAACCTTTCAAGATGGGAAATACTATAATACAACTATATTATCTTTTCCAAGCTCTCCCATTGTGTAGCTTTGTGCTTAATTGCAAACAAACAATGTTTTATAAAGAAAGATTAAATAGTAAAAAGTTTGTTACAAGAAATTGCTCAGAGGTGAGTGTTGTTGATAGAAATAAAAATATTTCTTTTCAAATAATTATTTTCGAACTGTATCGACGTAACAAGATTTTACTATCGAGATAATGGGAAACACCAAAGTGTTTTGTTTCGTGGTATATGAATTTCACATATAAAAACTAAAAACGTCAATAGACCAGAAAAGCTTCTTGAATTTTACAATAATAATAATTACGAGTAATAATAAACAGTTTACGTGAGCTAGAAATCTTAGTAGTTGAATATTTTACGGTAATGATCAGTAGTATCCCCTTTATTGTTAATTTCGGATGAAAAGTAAACTAACTATACATCAGTGCTAAAGTAATTAAAAATTAATGCAATCCTGTATAACAAGTTGTCTAGAAATGTTCAAAGTCGTAACTCAGTACTTTAGAAAACTAAATCTGGTCAATAGAGTTGTGGGGTGTTATAAGGTTTGACACACATTCAATGTGCTTAATGCTAGGGCTGAATTAACGTGTTTTTATTTTCGACCATTGCACAACTTTATACGCATATAAAAAGTGTAAACAACGAAAGAGAGATTTAAAAAACACCAGAAAAAACATTTCGTAACCGTTTACATGACATAATCTGGTATAGTACATAAGTTTATAAACATCTACCGCTTACATTATAAAAATCACCTTGATCTTAAAATAAACCTACCCTTTACCTTTTATTTTTGAAGGTTTTTTGTTGTATAACAATAGCTTCTGTTTGTTTTAAGTTCTCTAAAATTTTTCCTGTAAACAAAATTTTAATTTTCACTGTGATGTTGTCCGTGTTTAAAATGTCGACAGACGTGTGATGAAGCACGTTCATGTTGTTTTCTTGAACTTAAATATCACCAAGTCTTCCCCATGCAAAGGCTATTACAATATGTACGTTCTATACTGTATTTAAAACAATCTGTTTTTCAATAACAATTGGGTTAATTCTTTTCTAAAATCCCCCAAATGGGTCAACGTTTAGTTTTCGGACTTACAACGCTAAATTCCGGGGCTCGATGCCCCACGATGTTGTTGTTTTCCTGATCTGTTTACTTTGCACTAAGTAAACAGCAACAACTTCCTCGCAAACGGATTAAACTTTTTTCTAGTAAACACAAAAACGTACTCTTGATGGAAAGTTATACACTTTTCCCCCTTTACCATCCCCTGGTAAATCAGAACTAAGTTTATGAACTTACGACGCTAAAGTATGGGGTTCGATTTCCTGCTGAGGACAGAGCGCAGACAGCCCATTGTGTAGCTTTGTGGTAACAACAACAGCATCTTGTCCCCCGGTAGGTTAGCCGTAAGCTCACTAACTTATAACGCCAAAACCCGGGGTTCGTTTCCCTGAGGTAGACAAAACGCATACATCCATTTCGCAATTTTTTACGCTTGGTGACTAAAGCGTTTGAACTGCAATCCGGGGGTTGCGGGATCAAGTTGTTGCTATGACAAAACGACAATACTATTGCCATCTATCGCCTTCCTGGGAAAGCATTTTCAAATTCTAATCTTTATGATGTTTTGATGGTACGGCCAATCAAAGAATGCATTAAGCTTCTATCTCACAGATTCTCTTTTCAATTTCACCTCTGGTGAAAAAGAAATCTTTGATATATATTTCTAAATTCTATTCTCTTCGTAGTCAGTGCTTATATATTATAATATATGTTGCGAAACGCTACCACCATCTGTGGACGTCTTAGGTACACATAACATGATCGGCGTTCTTTTTATATT